TCTGAATGCAGTGAAAGTTCCCCAAGCCACCTGCACCACCATCACTGGGTAACCCTTCCCAGGCAGATCTCACTGTCATGGGTCCTTGTAATAAAACGCTTAATGTTTATAAGTTGAGCTGCTTTTTCCACTTTTTCCATTATTTGTTAATCCATATGAATCACTTCAACCTTTGTTTGATTATTTGATCACAAACGATTAGCTCAGTGCCATGCCTGGAAGATGGCACTTCAAGTCTTTTTAGGGAATGAGTATCCGTTGATGTCAAGCCATGCACTGCAAGACTTCAGCCACCAGGTGGCGCACAAATGCTTAATTTATTAAAATCAATAGTTCGCACTGTTGGTTTGCCAAGTCTTCAAGTAATTTGCTTGTGAATTATTTATGACTGTTGTAGTTACAGCGATTCTACTAATAGTTTCCTACCACTGCTGTAACAAATGACTACAAATGTATTGGCTTTAAACAATACAATGGATTATCTTACAGTTCTGCAGGACAGAAGTCCAAAATGGGTCTCACTGCATTAAAATCACGGTATCCGCAGGGCTGCCTTATTTCTGGAGACTCTAAGGCAGAATCTGTCTCCTTGTCTTTCCGGCTTTTAGAGGTTGCATGTACTTCTTGGCCTGTAGCCCCTCCCACTATCTTCAAAGCCAAAAGTGTAACATCTTCATATCTGATTCTGACCTCCCCCTTCCACTTAATTATAGAAACAACTGCGGTTAAATTGGCCCACGGGGATAATCCAGAATAACCTTTCCATCTCATCTCATCTGATTAGCAAATTTACTTCTATCTGCAACCTTAATTCCCCCTTGCCAGGTAATCCAACATAATCTCAGGTTTCAGGGAAAAGGGCAGGTGTATCTTTGGGGCCACTATTCTGCCTACCACAGCTACCGTATGTTCTGGAACTTCTAACATGTCTTGATTGTTAATATTTTGCCCTATTATGTCCGAGTCAGAAATCAGTCTCATCATTTTTTTCTGGAGTATTAGCATAAATGGATGGATGGATGAAAGGATGGATGGTTGGATGGATGGATATTTAGACAAATGTGGGGCATTCATGTTTTCTACACATACAAGCCCCTTTTAACTTGATGACCTTTTCCTTCATCCCACGTGGGTTTATAGATACAAAATGAATATCAGGTTTGAGCTAAACTTACTACCATGGAATCAATCATCAAATTCCAAGCTTTTTAGTTTTGAAAAACTTAGTCTATGGATAAAATGGAAAGATTTAATGTTTAAAATCTTGCATTTGAAATTGTATTTGAAGAATTTCTTTCCAATTTCAAAATGCATTTTTCCATCCACAGAACAGATTAGGGTTCTCCCAGCCATGGGAGAGGGAGGAGATGACCGATCAGGACGGTCATCTGTGATTGCTGAAGGGGTCTGAGATGGTCCAGGCCCTGAGGTTAGGCCCTAGGTTGGCTGAGAGTTAGGGAGAAAGCAGATGATATGTCTGAAAGTTCAAGTATAGAGAAAATTTGCCTGCAATTTTGGGAAGTGCAAGGCTTCCACTCTCCATGCTCTACACCCTGGCAGAGAGTGTGGAGTGGAAATGGCTCTGAGACTGTTGGAAGACGGGGTCAAGGCCACCTCGCCATGTTTCCCATGACGTCAGAGGGTCATGGGATAACAGCTCAATCCCTCCACCCACTGGAGAGAAAAGGGCATGGAAGTTAGAGGAAGAGAAGAGGAGAAAGGAAGTGGGACAAGCCATATGGCCAAGGACCAGACACACTCACAGAAATCTCGGCAGATGCCAGCACAGAGGGGTGACTGTGCCCGAGGACCAGACGGTTCACAGTAGATGCCAATACATGACAGAGCATATGCTGAGGTATTTTTTCCATTGATGTGTGAAGCTTATGGAAGTTTCTAGAACATAAATGCAATCTCAGGGAGATAAGAGAGATGAGGTGACTGAACTGATTAAAACTGACCTAGCAGGAAGGTTACCTTTAAGAGACCTGAGATAGACAGATTGATAGATATAAAATATGTGTAGTTATTATAAATTATTATTATATATAGTATATTATTCATATAAATATATTATGTATTGTATTATATTATTTTTGTTTAAAATCTTCTGTCTCACGTACTTGAGTACAAGGCTTGAAATACTCTGTCTCCTGGACGTAGATATATAATAGACAGATAAACGGGAAGAACTATCAAGTTCCACATCTCAGTTGTTTCTTCAGAACTGCGCAATCACGTCGGCATGCTAGGTGAGGATGACATACTGGAGAAAGTTTTGTAGTAACTAAAAAAACCTCAATTTTGATCCTCAGCTTATAACTAGCTCCAATTTTTTTTTTTGTAGCCTGTAACTGCTTCCTCATGGAAGGAATGGTTGACATTTATGTCCATTTTTTCCCCCTATTTCTGCTGATCCATAAATATCAGCCATGAAGGCAAGAAGTTACTTTGGAGAGTCCCTGTCGAATGCCCATAAACCTAAAAATCTGAAGAGTACAGTTTGTATGAGGCTTAGCCCTCTATATTTCCACAATTGCCTCACTAATACTACACTAAGTATAAGAAGGAAAAACTAAAAGGTGAAAAATCAGGATCGTCACTTGGGCAGAGGTATCAGCATCGATGCCCAGCCAAAGACATGCTCACAGTATTTACTAAAATCGATGAGGCTGTGGCTCTGAATTGGGGACCAGATACTACTTTGTGAGCACCTCATACCCTCCCCCAGCCTGCAGCACTGGCCTCTTCAGCCTGGGAATGAGCACTGAGTTTACCCACAGTTAATCATGACTTCACTCTCTAGTCCCTACAGACATCGTAGGCCTCACAGCAGTGCAGAGAGGACACGAAAGACATTTAGAAGCTGTTATGGTGATGTTGGCTGGAAAACAGGAACACTTGGGAAAGCTTCTTAGCAATTATAGTCAATCTCTCACTTTCTTTCTTTTTGGAGGTGCTGTCTGTGCATAAAGAAAAAAACCAAATAAATACACGGCAGTGCTAAGTCTCCTGTGAGCTGTGGAGAACAGTAGAATGAAACCCTTACTAATAAATGAGTCAGAGAGCGATGCCGTCATAGAGCTGCACAGATCCAGCGCTTAGCAACTCTGGGCACCACCCACTCCTAACTCTGGCTGACATCAGAGTGTGCGCTACGTAAGGGCCAGAGCTAAACAGGCCTCAAGGTATAAGATGGTAAAGACAACAGAAACTTGTGAATTTCACAAGAGAAAGTGTATCTTATGACAACCTCATTATCCTTCATTTATTCAGATAATGAAATGATGTCAGAAGAGTAGGGCAAGAAAAAGAAAAGATGTAAGTATTAGAAAAAAGGGTGACTGTCTTTATATGCATATAACTAGATTTTATGCATTAAAAAAAATCTACAGATAAGCTATCGGAGTATAGAAATACATCTCATGAGGTTGCTGGATGTAGGAAAAATATACGAAGATCATTTTTTGAAATATCTACATAATAGCAAAAAACAATCAGAAAAATTTTCAATGATATCAAAAATATCAAAAAACACAAAACACCTAAGAATAAATCTAATGAAAAAAGTGCAAGATACTTACACAGAAAATTCCAAAACACGTAGAGAAATTAAAGAAGACCCATGGGCCAAAAAACTATCATGGGAGGACAAACTATATTAATGAATTCGGAGACATAATCTTGCAAAGTTATGAATTCCCTGTAGAGTCAATGTAATTCTAACCAAAATGCAACAGGCTGGTTTGTATAAATTGACAAATTATACTTAGACTCTCATAGCACAAGGGGAGGATTAATACAGAAAAGTCAGGCTGACCAGGGTTCTAAACCTCACTCTGCCCCTTCCTGTCTGTGTGACCAGGCCACATTATCTCCATCTGTAAAATGGAGATAATAACGTCTCCCTCTACAGTTCTTGCGAAGATAAAATGAGCTAATTTAGTAATATCCTAAGACCAGACTTGCTCTTGTTTAAGATCAAGCGGCCTCGGCTGGGGAAAGACACCAGAGTCCAAGTAGATCCGTTACGTACTGGAGACTCCTGCTGTACACACCGGTGACAACAAAATAATAAATAAAATATTGGGGGGGGTTGTTTAAAAATACCCTAATGGGGGAGCTTGTTATATTTAAGGACTTCCCTCCGGAGGCCCTTCTGGTGGCCGGGCTGGAGAGCAGTGAGAGGATGCAGGATGGTAAGGCTGGAGTTGGACGGAAGGAGCTGCTCTTCCTTGATGTATTCTAAGGCCCCAGCAGAAGAGGCTCATTGGGAAGCGAAGCTGGACGGGCCCCACAGGGAGTGAGTAGCTCCCTGATCCCCAGAGTCCAGAAGGGCTGGGAGCCTGGAGACTGACATGGGACCCGAGCGAGCACTGTCTAAGGAGCTTTGGTGCCCCTCAGTGGGCAGCAGGCAAAATACACAAAGGCGGTGACGGCAGTGACAGTCGATTCCAAGGAACTGACCCACGGAGCAGGGCTCCCGCCAGGACATGGGACAGCCTCCAAGGGGGACTCGGGGTTCTGGCTCTGCAAGGTGGACCTCAGCACAGGGCACTGGTCTCACTACTAACCCACGGAGCCGTGTGAATGGGGTTGGGATATGAGCTCCATTCTCTGGTTGCCTCTTTAAGTGATGCCACTTCTTGACTCTTTGGAAACCAATTCCCCACTCCCTCGGCAGATTGTTACCTCTTGAGTTGGGCTGGGAAACCAAACACCAAGTAAAAGCCACCCCTTTGGTAGAAATGCAAACTTTTAGCTGCACCTCTTAAAGGAATGAGTGGCGTGTGGGAAGGTGGGAAATGATAAAATACCACCTGAGCACAAAATGCAGGTGCAGATGGGTTTCTCAGTGGAGGACAACCACTGAGTCAGTGAGCTGTGTCCAAAGATGAGAATCCCCAAGAAGGCAAACCTCCTGGGAGAAACTTTATCTTTAAGCTGAGTTGCTCAGGGCTGAGGTATTTTTGCCTAAGGTTTTCTCCTGGATGCTGGAGTCAGGAAAGGAAGTATTTTCACTTTTATTTCTAAAATAACAATCAGCATCTTTTTTACATACAGAATGGTTTAAACAGTCTCCTACACACACACACACACGCACACACACATGCATACACAAACAATAATACCTACAAGATATTTTTTCTGTTTCACAAGTGAGGAATGTAAGGTCCCAGGAGCTAAATTATTTTATGCCAGGTCTAAAATAGAGTGAAAAAGCAAACACATGGAAAAGTCCTAGTGTTTTCCTTCTGTTCCCTACCCTTAGGAAACCTACCATGACTTAACCATCTCCAAAGTAGCTTCAGCATGTCCCCTGCCACCCTTCCTCCTGTTCCTACCCCCAACCTATCCCTGAACCTGGATCCAGCCCCGGTCCCCAAAAGCGCCCAAGATCCACGCAGAGAGATGAGTGGCTGAGTCCATGGAATCACAGAGCCGGCCTTGGGGGTAAAATGAACCAACGCCCACAAGGATCCAACATTCGCTGGCTTGTGGAGGACGTCAGGTGACTTGCGGGTTGGGCCTTAATGTTGCCAACGTTGACCAAGGCTCTTGCAGATCATGGGTAGATCAAACAGACAGCAGATCCACCTCTTGAAAGCCCAGTCGCCAGATGTTCTCCTCAGTCTTTCCTCAGCAAACTTTTCCACACTGAGGGCTTTGGAGTTGCTCCTGGCAAGAAGAGAAGAAGCGTGACTGTCCCTCCACATTCCGGCCTGCCTTCCGGCCTCCTTCTCCAGGAGAACAGCTCTCAGTCCAGGACACAGGGCGTCCGTGAGGGATGGGCAGCTTGGGCAAAAAGGTCGAAGCATGGTGAACAGTAAGAACAACAGCTGGCAGGTCCTGGCAACTTAATTTCAACCAGGCCCTAGTCTATGAGTTTTTAATGCGTTGGCTCATTGAATCCTGAACTCTTACTAGCCCCATTATACAGATGAGGAAATGGAGGAACAGAGGCATTGAGTACTTTCTTTAAGGTCACACAGTAGGAAGGCTACTCTCCCAGTTTTATTTTTCTGTGCCATTTGCCTTCTCCGTGCTGCTCCCTGAAGTCTAAACTCCCTGCCCGGGGGGCCCCCTCTCCCTCCTCCATCTAAGCTTGGTCTCTGGAATGACGCACAGGCTCTGAATTTGCCTCTTTACAAGGAAAACGGTGTTTCTTCTCTCGGGGTATTTGTTCTATGTGGAATGAAGAATTCTTTTAAGTGAATTTTAGGCATAAACAAAAATATGGAAGAGATTTCTGAGAACAGAGGAGCTGTCCTGGAGAGGCTGATTTCACACGGGGTACATCAGGCGCCGTGGGGTCATATTAAAGGCCTGCCCTTCGTATGAACAGCAGAGGGCGCTGTGCAGCTGTGGCCTCATACTAAGAATGCACTTCCCCTCCCTCCCCTGCTTCCCAGGATGGCATCTCCCAATTAGGAGAAAACTGCCCCGTTTCCACACCTCTCCTCTCCTTCCAGAGGTCCCGGGCACACCTGTCCCGACCTTGTTTCTAAGGAGAGTCCAAGTCTGAGGTCACTGAGATATGTGGAGTTTCCACTGGGATATGTGGGGCCCCAATACTGGACAAGTCCAATTCTGACCTCCCGCCCCCTTTCTGCCCCTTGGAAATCAGCCTGCCTCCCCAGACCCCCTCAGTCTAAGATTTTATGTTCTGGTTTAAGGTCTGAAATACCGCCTTTGCCCTTGGTTTTGCCCTGCCCTGGGCCCCCACCTGGCCTTGGGCTTCCAGACACCCGCGTCCCTGAGCTCTAATTCTGTTCTGAACCCCATGGCGGGAGCCCTGCTTCTTGCTCCTTCCTAGTGCTCCCAGCTCTCCATTCTGGACGCGGAAGGATCACTCATCATGAACTTCACGTCCCTGCCCGCTAATGCCCCCAACACGGTCCCACGGTGCCACCCTCTGTGTTGAGCCCTTCTGATTCCTCCTGGGTCCAGATGTAGAAAGAGGAAAACCCCCAATTACCGAGAAAATTCCAGCCCATGGAGGACGTGCTGAAAAAACGCAATCTCAGCCCATCCCTGACCTCACAGGTTTGAAAATAGAAGTTGAAAGTTGAAGAATTTCAACTTTCTGTGGGGAGGATTTCTTTGGGGAGGGTCAGTGGTGTGCTTCCACCTCCTTCATCCACTGCCTCCTCAGCCTGGGCAACTCTGGGTACTTCCCCAATTCTAGTAAGCAGTGTAGTCTCTGATCTTGGCCTCTACTGGTTTTCTCCAACTGTTAGTACAGACAACCAGCCATGCCCAGCTGGAGAAGAGACTTGCCATGCCTCTCGTCTCTAGAATGGTTAGAGATGCTCTCCCTTCCCCACCTGGCACAGTCTAATCAGCTTCCCCAAACAGGTCAACATAGGACCTGAATGGAAAGATCAGCTTTACTAGGTCATCTGAACTACCTCTTGATTAGTGACTGATCAATAAATGCTATAGTGGTGTCCCACCGAGGAGGAACCGCATGGACTAGGAATGGGCAGAGACTGGGGGAGGTAACTCCTTACAGTTCTCCTATATCCTCTCCTTCAAGGTTCTAATACGAAAACCCAAAGGTGAAGGTGATTATTAAGGATAATACACCAGTGTTTTCCTCTTTGTTTTCACAGCACCCTCTACATGCCAGTCAACGTACATGACGCAGCGCCCTCCCACGCAGGTCCCTCTCCCTGGGACCATGTGTCAATGTCTCACAGCAGCATGACGTCAGGTTTCTATGATCTGTAGCACAGGAGGTCCCTTAAAGGTTCTTCCAACTCAGAGTGTCTTTGATTCCATGAGATTGTTTCAACACTTTGCTTGGCACCATTGCTCAACATCTGGGCGTGACTCAGAAAGGAAAGGAATGTAAAAAAGGATGTGCCTACTGCCAGGTGGTGTTGAAAAAAAAAATCTGGGACTCGTCTACATCCATGCAGAAAGGCACAAAAACCTGTCCAAGACAAGCCCGCACAGGACTGATTACTCCTGCCCACATTCCCCTGTGACCTCTCGGGCTTCTGGTTGCCGTTTTGTGATTTATTCTCCCTGTCACGGCTGCCCAGTATGTGTTTTCCCCTGATTTCACCTCTGTAGAAATATGACTCAGATGTTGGCGCGAGTAGATAGCCAATTTACCACAACCCCACCCACACCCCCTTAAGAATGATTCCAGGGCCCAACTTCATTAGGAAGAGAGAGGCTTGTTGCTCTGTGATTCCAACCCATTAAGTCTTCCTTCCCAACAATGGGGCCATTATAAGTGTCACCACCCACTGGCAAGACGGAATTAAGATGTGTGAGTGCTGTAAATGGCAGGACCTATCCTGTATCAGAGCAGGTGTGATATGACTGAGGACAGAAAAAAGGAGAAAAGAATTCTTAAGATTTGGTCATATAAGCTGAGATGACATGAGGAGTTTGTCGCAACTTGCAAGTGAAGCATCTCCTTGAGTTTTTAATACTCACCTCTTACTCTCACCGATGCATTAGTTTAGATCCATTGGTTGGGCTTAACGATGCATTCTAAATGGGGGAAAAAATAACAGATGTCAATGAGTAATGGCATTGACAAAAATGCACATGTATTTATCTTCATGTTTATGCCTGACTAACGGTAAACATGCAAAAATGAAAACATGAAGTACCCAAACTGACACAGCTATGCAGAATTAAGTGATCATATTTCACTGAATCTAACATTGTAAGCAGCATCATTAGTTTTATGTCCACTAAGAAAGAAGAAGAAAAAACTTGCCAATTAAACCCTGACATGCCACTGATTGTACAATACATTCCAATTTCAGAAATATTCAAAGGTGAAAAAAAATGCCTATCTTAGAATTGATGGACTGTGGTACAAAAAGTCACACTCAGTATTAGCTGACCATAAATTCCAAATCTTAATGTGTCCAGACAGTTTATTTGTTTGTTTTTTTAAAAAGTGGCTCTTACGGAGAAACTGTTGATTGAGTGAATGACTTCTTTCTAATTAATGTAACAGTGATGGCAAATTCTGTCGGTACTTGGAAAGACAGATAGCTGGATCAAAATTCAGCTTCAAGATCTATAAATATGCAGACACTTCAATTCAAGGGGGTGTGGTTCACTGAAAAAGTCCAAAGAAGGAGAATACTCATTCTAAAGCTGGGTGGCTTGGGGCAAGGCTCCCAAGTACACTGGACCTTAAGTTTCTCCACCTGTGGAAAGACGAGGTTGGACTAGAATCTCGCTTCTAGCTCATGTCTCATTTCCCAGCTCTACCATTTTATGAATAGCATTTTATGGTTCTCAACGGACCAAACATCAAGTTGAAATACAACCAACATGGAAAAATACCTTGAAGGGTATATTCCATTGACCTTCAACTTTAGCAGGATATTCGGAATGTGACGAATGAAGAAATGAATGAATGAACGGAGGTATGCCCTGATGACTCTGTTTGCTAACAAATCCTGAAGAGTAGACGACAATATTTGTCTCTGCTTGACTCTGCCGAGGACACTGACCCTCCAGTATTGAGACTGAGAAGGAGAGACTTACCTCTGCTACCCTTGACGGCCCCTTCAGTGAAGACATCCTCATTCTCAAAGCATCTCTTATCTGAAGAAGCAAGGACAGTGAGGAAACACAGGTCCTCCCCAAAGCCCAGAGCTGTGTCCTGACACTCTGAGACCAGGAACCCTAGCAGAAGCAGCAGCAGGGGGCTTAGCACCGTGCTTGGCAAATCATAAGACGTGGATAAAAGGTGAGGTGTCGTTACAACTAGATTTAGGATTAAGATGAAAATTCCGGTCACGATTTTTCTTCTTTTCACCAGCTCTGCTCACACACAGCCTCCAGGTGACTTGACAAAGAGCAGGAGATGGGAGGGTATAGTTCTTTCCTCTCCTCCTTGCAGCTGATGCCTTGAATTAACACACAAACCACCCCAAAAACTCAACGACCCTCTGATCAAGGCTGCTTCATCCTCCCGCTCCCCTGAAGCATGTGGAAACCATTTATGAGTGAAGCAAACTCAGATTACCTTGTGATCCATAATAGTTCCGAACAGCAGGATGAAGAACCCCTGTAGCAAAAGTCAAAAAGTATGAGGGACCGTTTTGCAGGCAATATCCCCACTGTTATCTTAATACCCCTTTTCCAGATTCCTTCTGAGATAGTCACCAACTATTAGAAACGTCAGTTTCTGCTGATTCCGATAAAACTGCATGGATGGGTATTTCTGACCCTGCTTCCAGGAAGGAGGACCACCGTCATGATTGTACATGACAGTTGTGGTGTTTATTGAATGGCCACAGCTGTAGGATCGTTTTCAACTTTATTAAATCTGTTTGCTTTCTTCCCAAATATTAATACAGCTGCTCTTTCTCGGGATGACAGAAACACGTGACAGGAAATCTTGTAATGCAAAGTCACAATCAGGGAAGTTGTCCTGAGAAAATGAAGCTTGTATTCTAGTCTGTTTTCAGAGGAAAAGTCAAGAAATTGGCAGCTAGGACCTCTGAGCTGGCGGGAAAAGTTTCCCCAGACCTGGAAGGCTGGGTCTCTTCACATTTAAATTATCTGGTCACCTGTAAAGTCACACTAATTGATAGTCAGCCTTTTTAAGTGGTGAGAGTTGAGGTCCAAGAAAAAGCTAGAACCTGCCATGAGAGGGAAGGGAAGCCGATTTCCAAGGAAGGATGGGTTCATGGGGAAGAAACACTGAGCAGAAGACTGAGATTTTAAAATGTGAGACACCGGGAAAGCTTGCTTGGGAAAGCGGAGTGCGTGTAACCAAAGGGAGTTTAGAACATTTGTTTCCATCAAGAAAAGAGAAAAAGAAATGATCTGAAAAAAGAAACACGGAACAGAACTTCCTGGGCTTTAATTAAGTTGCAAAGTAAAAACAGAATGAGCGCATCAGCAATCAGAGTAGCTTCGAGAGTTGGGGAGATTTATGTGAGTCCAAGAATCTCTGATTAAAAAGACAAACCAAACCAACCCTGAGTCAAAACTTCCTCTTTAAGTCGATGCAAAGGGAAGAGTGACATAAATGTTCTCCATAGTTATTCAAGAATTATGAGTAAATATATATGATTGAACTGAGCCGGCATTTCTTTAAAGTCAGCTCTATTATTTTGCATCAAGCTTTTAAATAGAGCAATGGTGATGTGTGAACATGAATACCTGGCCGCTTTATTAAGCAGTTATGTTTATTTTACTTAAAGCAGAGGTCAAAAAAAATTTTTTTTGCAGATAATAAATATTTTAGGCTTTGCAGGCTGCACAGTGTCTGTTGCAACTTCCTCATCTTTGCTGCTGTCACTCAAAAGCTGCCAGAGGCGAGGTGTAAACAAATGTGCATGGCTGTGTGTCAATAAAACTATTTACAAAAGCAGGCAGCAGGCAACCGTGGCCAACCCCTTATTAAAAATACAATTAAGAATATGATCTTGCCACATTTTCCATGACCCACGGGGATGGAAAGCAGCCTGGCTAGTGACAACTTCCCCAGAAGGGCGAGCTGAGTAGCCAGGACGGAGGAAAACAACTTTTAGAGGAATGATCTTGTCAAGCCAAGCACGTTAAGCAAGAAAAGACAGTGGCGGTCATAGATCCATCTTTATCTTACAGATGAGAAGCTTGAGGACCAGGGAAAATGACCTTCCTAGGAGCAGGTAACATGCGCCGAGGTCCATTTCTGTGAGTGATGAGGTGCACTTATTTCACAGAGAGCAGCGGGGAAGAGGTCTGAGATTGCCTGGCTGGTTAGCACCCACAGGGAGTGGCAGGGCCCCTCTCTCCACACTGTGAAACGTGACTGTGACTTCGTTGAAGCCCCAAACTTCCTGAGAAAGGATCAAAATTATTCTTGTTTTGAGGCGTAACTTGTGAGTGTAGCCTCACACATCCCTGGCCAAAGACTCGTCCTTTATAGATTGAACATCAACTTCATTGACCTTGAAGTTGAACCTTTGACATTGGAGCTTTAGGAGGGATGCAGGTAAATCAGTGAGAAGAGAAGAAAGGAGATTGCTACTCAAACAGCCTCATCATCTGAATCCAGCTGGATAATCAAGAGGGTGATAAACGCCACAGATAAATATCTCCAAGATATGGGAGGAAATGGAAGGAACATTGTGTCCCATATGTTTAACCCATAGCCATGTTTCATTTTTATAGCTAGCATACCAAATTACAAAATGATAATATTTTATAGATAAAATATTAATGAGTAGTATTCATTAATAGAAGAAGCCTCCCCCTTGGAACTTACCTGGAAAGCATTGAGCAGGGCAAAGATTATATGGAATGTCAAGGAAGTGCCTTCCAGGAGGGTGGCTATTCCAAAACCCCAGGTCAGTCCCAGCAGTGGGGTGAGGATGGCAACATTTTTGCTGATCCTCATAATTATGGCCAAATCCTGAGACTTGGAACTGCCAATAGAGGGCCTCTGAGTGTTGACCGCAACAACCAAAACCACAACAAGATTCACAGCCACGATGACCAAGGCTGGGATGGCAAATGCTAAAAGGGCTTTGGTGTCGTCCCAGTTAAGCCAACAGGCACCGTGTCTCGTGTAGCCTCTCCCTGGCACTGTGACAGCAACTGTGGTGACGGCGATGACCAACGGGCACCCATAGCCAATGGCAAAGCCAATGGCCATCATGCGGGACTTCATCATCCTCCGGAAGACCACCAGTATTCCATAGATGATGAGCAGGGCTTTAAAGAGCATCCAGAAGAACAGGGAGAGGTAGAAAAAGTGGCTGAAAAAGGTCACCGCTACACACCAGTTGTAGTCCTGGGCCTTTCTGTTAAAGTTGGTGCCTAGGATGAACCACACGTTGGCGGTCAGGAGTGACACAGCTATGTTCACGATACACACGTGTCGCATGTATGATATCTCCGTCACCACCACCCGGGACCACACCGTGGCTTCAATGATCAGGCAAAGGATCAAGCTCAGAATGGAGCTGCTGAGCCCAATGCAGGTGATGTAGTCCAGGACCTTGTTGTCTATGGATCTGGGGGACATGAGAATGGAAAAAGACGTCACGGCATTGGTGTAGTTACACCGGCATTTTGCTCTGTCCGCGACATCCAGCGCTGTTTCACACACGCTCTCATCCCACCTCCTTTTGCTGGAGTGCCAGCCGACACACTGCGCCCTGGCGTTCCGGGGCCTATTGATCTTCTCAAAGGTGAGTAAAATTTGCTTCAGTTCTTCCGGTAAGATCACCGAAAGGACCAGCCCATTTACTGGCCTGGGAAGATCCTCATCTTGCAAGTGGGATTCCTTCAGGACGGCCCCCAAGGTGGGAAAAGCGATGCTGATGGCTTGGGATGCATTTGGCGGCAGCTTCCACAGCTCTTGACTGGGAATTTCTATGATTCCTAGGATACCCTCTGTTGTGTTGCTCATGTTCGAGGAGAAATTGAAACTTCTCCCTTGGGTATTGTGGTTGATGGGAAATCCTTTCGTCTGAATGAACAGTTCATCCACGATGTGCTCGGGTTCGTGGTAGATGTGGAGTCGCCTGGCAAACGCATTCACTGCCTGCAGCAAATCCGAGCTGGCATTTTTGTCTGGTATGAAGGCCCAGTTTGGAATGGCTGCCGGGTCGAGGATGTGGTTGGCCACTTTGCTGTAGCTCTACAATGGAGAAGAGCGGATACCGTACTGAGGATTTACGCATAATTGTACAAAATCGATTTCTAAAATCTGAAGCTTCTAAAGACCAAAAGACTTGATATTATTTGACATATTTCTCTTCTGTTTATTAGAATCTCATACTAGTAAGTCTGCAGAGAGGGGAGAAAAGTAAAAGAGTGCTAAAAATAAACTTTTTTTTTGCCAAAATCCATGAACACATTGAGTGTGCCAAAGTTCATCAACACATTAAAAGCTCTTAAAACGTCCTGCCATAAGGAACCTTGTTTGCCTTTGTTTAACCGCGTTCCTATATTGCTGTGCTCCAGGTCACCTTCTGAAAAAGAGAACTTCTCACATTTCTCAGAACATTTACGTTCTACAAGAATAAAATTTTGGAAACACTAGAGCTGGCTCAGTCTTACTCACAGCCATCAGTGGGTGATAGTTTCTTGAAAACATTAAGTCTGTGCAAAAACATGTATTAAAAAAAAGTTCTAACTTCTTGAAAACATTCATAAACTAGAATGAATTGATATCCAAAACTGAAATGAATTGTTGTGATGGTTCCTGGGGTTATTGTAGTTTTTCCCCTGACAAAGCACATTTGAAACTATTAAAATGCAAGATTTGGGGAAAAAAAAAGATTGTATGTTTTTTAAATGAAATTAACAAAGAATACCTTCATTTTCTCTTGGGTAACGTTATCAGATAAGTCTGTAGAAATATTTTTCAGTATCTCCACTATGAATGCAATATTTCCAGACGTGGCTTCTGATGACTTCACAGCATCAATTATGCAGGCGTAATCAAGTGGGCAGTTCTTTCGGATGCCATGAGCTACGCTTTTGATGGGCTCTGGAGCTCGAAAGTCAAGAATGTGCAGGGGGATAAATGGTGCTGCGACGGAGAGGCGTGATGCACTATTTGAGCCCTGTTTTAATTTTTTAAAAAAAAATAATTGTTTCATTCAAATATAATTAAGCACCTAACATGTCAGACAAAATGAGTTGGAGGCACAAATAATCCACAGGGGAAAAACAAACAAGAGATGCAAGTGGTCCTAAAAAGTGGTTTAGGTGCTGAGAAGTAAGGAAAAATTAAATGGGGTCCAAACAGACAGGAGATTCCACCCAAATTCCCACAGAGATCAGGATACTGACCTTTCTTATCAGAACTTGCTTTCAGGACAGTGATTTTAACTCAAGTGTTATTACAAGAGAGTTTTCTCCAGAGAGATGGAGAAACTCTAGAAACAAAATTTGCCTAATTGTTTCATTTATTTATTTTTTTAAAGAGGAGCCAGGTGGAATTTCATGGGGGAGTGGTTTTTGGAGGTTGGCCGTTCAAACACAGAGTGCTAAGGCATTGTAATTTCAAAAAGTCTAGAGTTCACTAATTAGAAGTTATTTGCTCATTTCTTCATAACTTTACCTAGAATTTCCCAGAATGGGACTTTGGGCAAGCCAAAGCAATAATTTATTCATTTAACTCCCTCTTAAATGCCACTGTAGCTGCAAGGACATCTGTGTGATTAGCTATGCTAAGGGACAGGCTGCATTGGTCCTCCCTTCATAAAACCACTGTTAAAATTTTAGGGGATTCAAGAGATCAGGATCCATCTACAGGATTGGAGGGGAGGCAGAAATAGTCACTAAGTGAAAGGATGTTTTCATTTTAATTGAGATCTGTTGTATTCACTGAATTTCTACTCCCTCGAGGTCACGCATCTCTCCTTTCCTTTGGCCAAGTGATTGAAAGCACCGGAAAAAGATATCAAAATGAATTTGATTCTAGACCCATTTAGTTGCTTAATGGATTAGCCTAAGAGTCATGCAAATCCATCTTCAGAGCTAAAACCTTAACCTCGAAGTATTTATCCTTGTGTAAATGAGTTTCAGATATTTTTTGAGAAAAGGTTCTGAGAGGGAGAAATAGAGACAGCAGGGATCGTGGAGAGCTGCTGAGAATCTGGGTAAAGAAGTAATGGTAAGACACAAACTTAGGCCACTCTGTAGAATGTCTCAAGTCTAGATCTGAGACTTATTGTCAGGCTGAGCAGCAAACATGAAAATTGCCTCTACCCGTTCTGGGGGGACAGGCTCTTGTAGAATATGCAAATGTGCAAATGTGCAAATATGCAAATTGTAAACGCATCACCTTAAAGAGTGCTTCCACAGAAAGGCTTGTACAAGTTTCAGTTGATTTTTGCCACTTGTTTCCGCTACAGGTAAATCCTATTTCTCCACGAAAGTGCTGGGCACAGGGCTGGCTGCAGTTGGAAGAGGTGGAGCAAAGTCCTTGGCATTTCTCTGAAAGGCAGTGGGAGAGAGAGAAGCCCTAATTAGCATTTCCGCATCTAACTCATTCTGGGGCTTTGGGGGATGGCTTCCCAGCGGAGGTGACATTCACCTGGGTCCTTCATAGCAAGTAAGACCTGCTAGGCAGACTGTGAAGCTCAGTCCAAGGAGAGAGAAAGGTGTGAGTTCTGAGGAATTATTTGCTTTGTGGCATTTAAGCAACTGACCTCAGCGTTTTCGATCCTACTCCTTTCTATGGGGTGTGGTTATCCTTTTCTGCCCCATTCCCACTCAGGAGCCTTTTAAAGCATCCCCTGTTGGGTCACTGTCATTCTTTAATTTTTTATTTTTATATGTATATATTTTTTTTAATGGAAAGAAGTAGAAGATGCTGAGAGCTATTAAGGTGTTGAAATAAATACAATGAGGTGACCAACTGGCTGTGAATCAAGAAATGCACTCATATTTATGGCTCGGACAGCGCTGTGGATGACTCCATTCATGGAGAAAGGGAACAAGTGGCTCTGCCTCTTTCTTTGACATCTACCCAAGTGTAGCAGTTTTTGCAAGTTATTTAAACTGAGTACTTCTCCATGTCTTCCTCCCTACGGTTTGGAGGTAATGCTGTAGTTTTGCTACAAACATTGATGGGACAGCATCTTATATAGCTCCTAGATCAGGGGTGTCTTAAATGCTCAGTGAATGTTAGCTACTTCCCCTCCCCTTTCCTTTCTCGGTTCCACATCTGTGTAGAGAGGTATTTGCCACCAAAAATATACTTGGCCATGACTGTGCAGAACCCAGCTGTCACCGCTGTGTGGGTGAGAACCATGTGATTTCACTATCTTACTACTAATCACGCCACCACAGTTTCTCTCTCACTTTTCGGGAGTGACTGGTCTTGCCAACATCACACCTCTTATATTACTTCTGCAGACCTCTCAGCCCCAGAGTGTTACAGACATTTAAGCATCCTGAAAATATCTCTGAGTAAAGGAACAAATGAATCCCATCCTCTCCCCTCTTCTGCCTCTCGTTAGCTCATTAGTTCAAACAGATATTCCCTTCTGAGTGTTAAAATGCACTCTTGTCTCCTAGTCTAAAACACACGTGAGTATTTGCCAACTCGCTTCATTGACTCTGCCATGGATAACCGTATAATTGTAAGAAAATCTATTAACACTGGTAAACATTGAGAACTTATTAGAGATTGTTATTCTGGGTGAAATCTTAGGGACAGATTTGCAGTATCAATGCCCTTCCTTTCTTCTGCCCAGTCTTCCAATGGAAGAAGAACATTCTGTAGCCACATACCTTGCACCTTCCCAGTCTTGGGTTTTCCTTCAGGACCTTGAAGTTTATCTCCATCCTGTAAAACATAAATTCCCAAAGGTCTACTTTACTGTGGGGCTCTCCTCTCTCATCTCAACTTAGAGGCTCCATGGCGATTTGAAAAAAAAAAATGTGTTCAGGACTAGGAAGAAAACTGCAGCTCACATCGCAGGAACTTGCAGAAGGACACAGGGGTGCGAGTCCTGACGGAGAACACACCATCCCCTGGTGAAGGCTGGAAACCTGAACATGGTCACCAGGGCTCTGAAGTCAGTGGATTGGATACTTTTGGAAAAGTTAGAAAGTTGACGTATCCTGGGAGGGCACAGTGATGACATTCTAGCACAAAGCTCTTCCCTGCCTGTATTAACTGTAACAATGACACGGAATGAAAATGGTCCGCCAGATACTGTGTGTCCTCAGGGAGGAAGAAATGAGCAGACACTAGGAATGAGCACTAGGCTACAATAATAGAATCACAAATTCTTTTTGTGGCTCTAAGGGACTAAAATATACATAAATAAATAAACACCCTTCACGTTACAGGTAAGGGAATTAAGACTGGGAGAAGTGAAGCAACTTGTGCAACGAACAAGCAACGCTAAGGTGTGAACCTAAATGGCTGAACTGCCAGGCTGGTGCTTCCGCCTCCCAGCAGCTGCCTTCCTGCCCACGTACTCAGCTGCTTGCAAAGTGGTCTTTCTACTGTACCGTTGCACCTGTCACAACCGTGCTATCCTGTCGCCAGTCCCAGCCACCTCTCCACTTTTCTTGGTTCCTGTCTCTGGAAAGCTAATCAGTAAGGGTAAAACCATAGTCATTTGAAAATTTCCTCTAAGTAACAACATTATTTACCATAAATCTAGTCCTTTCAGAGAACTGACGGATTTCTCATGGGATTGTATTAAGAATGGATCAAAACTTACTTTTATGTGGATCTTGGCTCTAGGATGAGAAGATTCTGTGGCCAGAAATAGCATTACACAGCAAACCGTGATTGCCTGGGACTTCATTTTCACATGTGAGGACCTTCACCTGCAGTAGAGGAGGAAGTGGCAGCCCCATGTGATTAACACGATACTCAGCCGACCAACCAGCCCCTCGGGAGCCCACTGGGTGCTCTGAGATATTCACTCCCAAACGACCTGCCTCGGGAAAGGACACCCATATCTACTTCAAGCCAACTAAAATGTGAAAAAAAAGAAAAGATTTTTCTATCAACTGTTGACCTTTCTACAAACAACAGTCAGGAATGACGGGAGCACCAGGAAAGACGTATGTTCACTGAAGCATCATCTCTTCTTATTTAATCCACACGTTTCTTTAATAGTAACGTTTATCAAGAACTTCCATTTTCCAACCACTGTACTAAGCACTTTCTTTGCACTAACTCATTTCATCATACGATTTGAGATATTATCACTATATTCATTTTTTTTTCAAAGGAGAAACTAAGTTACAAAGCATGGAGCAATTATGAGCCCACGATCACTCAGATAAAACGTGGTGTAGCCAAGAGCTCAACCCAGATGATCCAGCTGGAGAGCAAGTCTTAATCTCTAGCAGGGCTGATGGCCAAGTTGGATGGTTCTTTGTTGTTAGGGACTGTCCTATGCAGCACTGGCCTCTACCCACAAGATGCCAGGAGCTACCCCCTCCCCAGCTACGACAGCCAAAAATATCTCCAGACATTACCAAATGTGCCCTGAGGGAGAAACTGCCCTGAGTTGAGAACCACTGTCTCAAGTGGTGCTTCAAGTATATAGAGTCAAGTAACTTAAAATAAAATGAATATACGCTATTGTCTGCTACCGGAGCACGCACTGTTATGTATACAGGCATCCATATAAAAACTAAAAAGTACATAATTTTTGTATTTTAAAAACTCCTATGTTAAAATCCTATTCTTCTTACCTGGAAGCAAGGCACGCTGACATATCCATGATTTTTATCTTGTGTCCCACTTTATTCTACCTGACGTTGTCTCAAACGTTGGTTGCCACCCACTAAATTGAATTCACAGCCCTCTAAGGGATTGTAACCTGCAATTGGAAAAACAGAAATAGTTACTATAAGATTCACTTTTATTAGCAAGTCAAAAATCCTTCACTTCTCCCACCAAGTTGGTCAATTCCATCTTTTCTCTTTCTTCCTCTTCACAATCCTATTGAAATCTCCTTCCCCCAGTACTTCAGAGAGAAAAGACACCTACATTCAGGACCAACTAAGAAGACTGATGAGTAATTCAGCTCTTCTCCACCTGGGGAGCATCGTTTGAAATGCCAGTGAAATGGTTGAAGGCCAGCCAAAGGGAGATATTTATAATAATGCCTGCTGTCTAAGGCTTCAGGAGAAGGGTCACTTTTATTCTTCATTGTTTTCAAAATAGGGACTTTGGTTAAAGCTAATTTTGCTGGAAGAAAGTCAGGCATTTCGCTTAGTGATACAGTGTGATGTGATTTACGGAGTCCAAAAATTTTCCCCCATCCAATGCTAAGGCCTCTAAGTCCGTAGTTCCTAAAGGTGTTCCAAGAGTTAAGGATCCAACAGCCATGACGTTTTCTATAGATCACTCTACTCTTTGTGGAACGTTTTGAAATGATGATACGTTTCATGATTCACATAAACTAAGAAAAATTTTACTAGCAGACATAGATATGTGCTACAAAATCATAAGCATGACCATATGAAACACAAACTTTGAACTCAGCACAATTGGTTATTTTTGGTTAATTAATTTGCTACTTGATCATTCATGTTCTTAGAGTCTGGTGTATGTAACCCACATACCGTTTGGTATGATAATTACTTGTAAAATTTCCTTCAGTTACTACAAATGTTGAGGAGAGAATGTTTAATGATGTTACTCAAGAGGAGTCAGAGCATTCTTATTTTTGCCCAGTTTGATTGGTGGGGATGAATCAGGTGGACGGGTGTTTTCAGGTTCGCCCCAGTCAGATAGTTTCTTTTCTTGCCAAAAAGAGTGGAAAGGGATTTCCTCCCAGCAGAATTCAGGTGTTGGCTAAGACCAAAAGCCAGAGTTTCCTGCAGAGCAGACAGTGAAGACAGCTTAAGAGCTCTGAGAATGAAGAATTTAAAAATAAACAGAAGCATTGCCAGCATAATCTGTAATCAGAGGTTGAAGGAGGGAGGGCGTAGCTCAGTGGTAGAGTGCATGCTTAGCATGCATGAGGTCCTGGGTTCAATCCCCAGTGCCTCCATTAAAAACAAAAAATAGCAAACACAGATCAGAGGTTGATATTATATAAACAGAATAGGGGAAGCACACATTCTTTGATTAATTATTGATAAAGACTTAATAATTAGAGAGAACTTTGAGTTTTGCATAATTTCAAACTGAAAAATTTCTGCAGATACAAATGAAGAGCCTCTCTAAGACCTCGCACAATGTCTACGTATAGTAAGCTTCTCCTTGAGTTTTTGATATTCACATCTTATCCTTAACGATTCATTAATTTAGATCCATTGGTTGCACTTAACGATGCATTCTAAATAGGGGGAAAAATAATAGCAATGGCAATGAGTTATGGCATTGACAAAAATGCACATGTATTTATCTTCATGTTTATGCCTGACTAACGGTAAACATACAAAAATAAAAACATGAAATACCCAAAGTGACACAGCTACGCAGAATTAAGTGATCATATTTCACTGAATCTAACATTGTAAGCAACATCATTATTTTTATGTCCACTAAGAAAGAAGAAGAAAAAACTTGCCAGTTAAACCCTGACATGCCACTGATTGTACAATACATTCCAATTTCAGAAATATTCAAAGGTGAAAAAAAATGCCTATCTTAGAATTGATGGACTGTGGTACAAAAAGTCACACTCAGTATTAGCTGACCGTAAATTCTGAATCTTAATGTGTCCAGTTTATTTATTTGTTTTTAGGAAAGTACCTCTTAGAGAGAAACTGTTAGTTGAGTAAATGACTTCTTTCTAATTAATATAATAGTGATGGCAATTTCTGTTGGTACTTGGAAAAACAGATAGCTGGGTCAAAATTCAACTTCAAGATCTATAAATACACAGACACTTTAATTCAAGGGGGTGTGGTTCACTGAAAAAGTCCAAAGAAGGAGAATACTAATTCTAAAGCTGGGTGGCTTTGGGCAAGGCTCCCAAGTACACTGGACCTTGGTTTCCTCATCTGCGGAATGACCAGGTTGGACTAGAATCTCATTTCTAGCTCATTTCTCATTTTCCAGCTACTAGCATTTTATGAATCTCTGATTCCGGGTTCATGTCGTCCCACCTCAATGGTCCAAACATCAAGTCGAAATGCAACCAACATGGAAAATTCTCTTGAGGGGTATAGTTATATAATTTAATTTTTAATTTTTAAGATGTCTATATATACCACCAGTTTGCAAAATTCCTGACAATATAACAGCCAGCCCTCCAGAGCCAGTACAAGCCAGTTCCAGCCCCTCACTGCCTCCTGCCTGCCCCAGGGTCCAACCTTCACCCAAACCCAGCTTTCAGCTTCTCACTGTTCCATCAGTACTGGCATGCAGACGGTAGTACCGATGAATGAGAAAAGAAACCTAGGTTCTGAATGCAGAAACGAGGAAAACAAGGACACAAAATCTAAACATTAAATTGTCCTGAGGGACATCAGCAATATACAGACAGTACTGAAAGAAGAAATTTTCAAATGTGAATGTGACCGAGGCCAGCTCGCCTGGACACTCGCCTGGTCAAAGGGTTTACTTGTTTCTAGTGAAGAGCGGCCGCAGTCCGTGCTGGGTCCTACCTTACACGGAAAATCCAGAGTTATTCTTTGAAAAGGATGCTTAAATTACCTTTATGCTATTTACTGACTTCTGGTTCTACAGAGAGTTCAATTTATCAACAAAATTGTGCAGCTTCATAAAATCCCTCACTTCTATAAACCCTTGGGGATGGTGGCAGAAAAACACTTTGTTGGAAAGAACTGTCCCTGGCTACTTAAATCAAGATCCGGGCCTGCAGTGGAGGGATATAAAAAAAGTAAGCAATGATCCTGACAGAATCATGCTGCAACAGTGTATATTTATCCTGGGACGGACGCATAATATCCACCACTTGTTTGACAACAGTTTGTCACAGGTACCAAAAGTTAAAGTAAAAAAGGATGAAAGAAAAAACAGCACTGAGGACATTTGTATGCTTTGTTGTTCTGTGAATTCGGGAAATCTATCTGCTCTACTCTCAGTGGGCAAGCAATACAGAATTTGATGTCTATTGGATTTGGCCAAAGGCATTGTGTCCTGAAGTGAGTTTCTGTGAATCACTGGTCTATAAAAGACTAAGGGGTCCCCTGGTCCAATCAGCTTGGGAAACACTGTGCACCGCCATCACCACCCCCTCACACACATACATTCACAGAGCAGAGCTCTGAGAGCTCCTGAAATGACAAGACCATCACCCAGGTTTTACCAGATCTACTTGATCATCAAAAGTGCTTTGGGGGGATTTAAGGCTGCTATTCAAAGACAGTGTGTTATCGTGGAATACATTAATCTCTCCAGATTCAGGCTTTACATGCCTTTGTGGGACCCCCTACCCCATGCCAGTCCTGTGCTAATACCTTCCTGGGAGCTCCTTTAATTCACCCACACCGTGCCCCCAGGTAGCCCAGTAGAGAGTCATAGTCCTGGCCTTCGTGTGTCCTGAAAGAAGGAGGCAGTGGACAGGCAGACTTTCCGAGTCAGAATTACCCTGCAACAGGACGTGATGCTCAGGGTGGAGAGGGAGGGAAGGCAGGCACAGATGCCGGGCGGGCGTTCAGAAGTCTGGGCTGATCACCAGGGAGAGAACCACAGACTCCGAAATGGAGAATCAAAGGGAGGAAAAGAAAACAAGGCGCCAAAGAACTCTGCTTGAGGCAATTTTTGTTAAGCAGGTAACCAAGTAGCTACCTGACATTTACAAGGAAACTCCCTCCGCTTCTACGCCAGCCACCCGATGAAGGCAGCTCCGCATCTTGTTCCCAAAGGATATGAAAGGAGCCTTATTTCAGAAATAAAAGCAGGAAGCAATCTGGAGTGACAGCTTCTCGGGAAGTAGAAAAGTTCCAAATCCCTCGTCCCCCTTCCCACAACCTGCCTCTCTCTGCGCGTCCTTACGAAGGATGTGAATTGCCTACTATCATCCACTTTTGCTTTTCTCTTAATAATACACAGCCGTTCTAGGTGGCTGAGTGGAAGCCAGGCTCCCTGCTCTAACGTCGTGTCAACTTCAAAGAGAGAGAGAGAGAAGATCTGGTTTGCTCTACTCTTAGTGGGCAAGCAATACGGAATTTGATGTCTATTGGATTTGGCCCAAGGCATTGTGTCCTGCCCTCAGAGGCTTCAAGGGAAATGCAGCTTCAGCCCAAAGTCCCAGAGGGACTGCCTCTCGGGGTTTGGCTCTCTGGAGAAGTCACAGCAATAAGCATCTCCCACACCACTGCCTGTGCTCTGAGCCCTAATGACAAGGAGTCAGCAGAGCACAAGGCTTAGTCTCTCAGCCCCAGAGGAAGCAGGCTGCACCTAGTGGAAAAATTGGGTTATCATTGGGAGGTAAACCCAGAAGGACATTTCTCTGTCCCCAGCATCCAGCAGAGCACAAGGTGTATACCAGACACTCCATAAACATCTGGTGGATAAATGAATAAAGGTGTGAATGGTGCCAGCTTCTCAAGTTTTTGTTTTAAAATCACAGGGCAATGTTTCTGTCTTAGAGGAGCACATGAGCCCATTTGCAAGGCTAGATCATTTTGGAACCTGGTGATTGAAGTAAAAATGCACCCAGGCTAATGGACCTCCACCTTGTTGTACCACCGGGAGCCTGGTGTGTAAAAGGATGCAAGGTCCTCTCTCGGCTCAGCGGGAAAGAACGCACTGCCAGATTGGCCATGTCTGCCACGGGTATGACAGGGCAGGTGTCTTTCCATGCCGTGTTCACAGAGTCGGAAATCATAAAGCACTGTTTCCCTGGACAGACCCAGAACTCGCTGGCTGTTTTTAAACGCCACCTCCTATTTGTCCCATGTTCCTTTGTACCTGGAGCTGAGTTTCTAAATGAGTTGGCATTCAAAAGTACAATTAATCTTCCCTGGGTCCTGGAATGTATCTCTGATACCAGGTGCTAGAGGAGTTGCAGCAGGTGACTCACATGGACGGAGTGCTCCCCGCCTGTCTGGACACGCTGAGCGAGGGCTGGCATCCAGACTGTCAAAGGAATTAGTAGGACGTACAGCCTGGGAGCTGTAACCACAGTCAGGCAGGAAGGAATGCACGGAAAGGCGTGATCTCTCAAACCTCTTCATGCAAAACACCCCCAGGTGAGCTGGGTGGAAACGTTTGTAAACCAAGGGGACACTTTCCCAAAGTGCTCCTGGCCACTGAACTTCACCCCAAGGTGAGAGGGAGGACCTAGTCTCGCTCGCCAGCTGACTTTTTAGATAGCACCTCACCTCGTATTCATTGGCCAATCCCACTGATGGGAAGGACCGATTCAGAAAGGTTAACTGGAGGATGAGGAACGTAAGAGTTAAGTGACCCACTTTTGGGGGGACATGTGTGTGTTTGTTTTGCTCCCCTCAGCCTAATTTCGTAACTGCATATAATTAGAACTCTGATTACACAGCCAGGGCTAACCAAGATGTTTGGGTGTTTCTTGGCCTCAGCAACAGAATGTACTCACTGGTTCATTGGATGAGCTGTTAGACACAAAGGATCTGCTGGAATCATGAACACCTCACCCTTGGCTATTTTAGATTGCGTCTAGCCAGGTCTCTGTGTAGCTCAGTAGCTCCTCTGAGAACTGCAGTCTGAATTCAAATTCTGATAAGTTTGAAGAATCACATAATCTCAGTTGGAAAGCTTCCAGCGTCTCACCAGCTATCTTGACAATTATATGATTTTAAAGAAACTGGTATGTCAAGCAACTGCTCTGGTCCATAAAGAAAGCTCGCTGGAGGGCAGACACTGAAAATACAGCCCCTGAGGATGCACACTGTAGAGCTCCCACAATTGTCCTCAGAGCATAAGGAACGTAGCCTGCCGAACAGCAGAGTGTTGGCCACTCAGAACGAGGGGAGATGCCTTTGCAGAAAGGTTTTAGCAGTAACTGGAGGAACTGTTTCCTTTGAAGTTGACATAAAGACAGCTTTGTCAGCCCTAGTAAGAGAAGAAGCTACTATAATTCTACCTAATAAAACTTAAAAAGGAGGGGGGGAAAAACCCCAAAACCCCTAGCTTTACACTCAGCCTAAAGGAAGCGACTTGAAAGCTAGTTTGCTCATCCAGTTTATCAAGCAAAGGAGACGGTCACAGAGAGTCTAATTGCCTGACAAGGTGCTTTGAACTTTCACTCGTAGGAGTGAGCCATTTACAGCCTGGCAAATGACTTCTTGAAGAAAAACAAACGTAAAAGAGACTTCGGAAATACTCCAGCCACGAGCTGGCCAATCTCGAATAACGCTAGGGAAGCTTCCAGCAGAATCAAGCCCTCCAGAAAGTCCCATCATAAATCACACACTTTCCCCAGTCTGGAATACAGGAACAACCTTGTCTTCACGGGAAAAGAGGGGCTGGGGTGGCATGTGTACTCACGGCATCCATCCGGGAGACCAGGCAGCCCAGCGGGAGGGTCGGCGCCGGCTGCCCCCGCCGCGCCCCCCATCACGGGCCCGCCCCGGCGCCTTCCCAACGGGTCCCCGTCCCCGTCTTCGCCGTGTCTGACAGGGAAGTTAAGTCCAGGGAGGCTCCCCGTGCAAACAGCCACTGGCGGTGAGAAGCCA